CTCATCCCTTTTCCCCCTCGTTCTTTTACTTTATTATCATGTTGTCCCTCATTCATCATCCCCTGTATTATTACCCCTTCCGTTCATCCCTTCTCTTTCTGACTGAACTCTCTGTCTGTCTGTCTGTCTGTCTGTCTATCTCTCTGTCTGTCTGTCTCTCTGCCTTTCACAGTGTTTCTTTCAATGCTGTTCCCACTGCCTCATCCACTACATCTTCCACTGCTTAATCCACCGCCTTTTTTTTACCCTAAGATGAGATTGCCCGTCATTCCATCCACATCACACTATTTCTCCCCCCTTTTTAAACTCCTTTTCTCCTCATCCTCTCATCTATTCCTCCTCCTCTCCTTTTCTTTCCATGCCTTCTTTTCACTCGTTCATCGTCCTCCTCTTATCTCCCCACCATCCTCGTGCTCGCCTCAGTGTCTCCCTCCTACAGACTGGTGGTCGGGCAGTACGTAGTTATGGGAGGTGCAGTGGTGAGCCACGTTAATCTGACGGGGGTGCGGTCGGAGGACGGAGGTGCCTACACCTGCATTGCCTCTAACAGAGCCGGCTCCACCTCCCACACTGCCAAGCTCAACATCTACGGTAAGCAGTGCTGGTGGATGTAGACGAATTCTAACCCGCAGACTAGAAGAGAAAGCTGAACAATGTTTCGAGCTCACATGGGCTGGGTGATATAATGTTGGAGGGACCGAAAAGTAGCTTCTATTTTAAATTTGTATTAAGAAACTACGGTATTAATCCTTCGTATTTCACTACCACACCAATAAAATTTTAAATAGATTTAGTATTTATTTTACTCAATTTTATTGTTACATTCTATAAGAACTATAATGAAATGTACTGATAAGTATACAAAACTTGTCCTTTTGTAACAAAGTTACAATTTAAAAGAAAAATACAAGTACCGTACTCGTGGTATAGCTACTGTATCTTCGTTAATCGTGGTATAGCTATTGTATCTTCGGTACTCGTGGTATAGCTGCTGTATCTTTGGTACTCGTGGTATAGCTGCTGTATCTTCGGTACTCGTGGTATAGCTACTGTATCTTCGGTACTCGTGGTATAGCTGCTGTGTCTTCGGTACTCGTGGTATAGCTGCTGTATCTTCGGTACTCGTGGTATAGCTACTGTATCTTCGGTACTCGTGGTATAGCTGCTGTATCTTTGGTACTCGTGGTATAGCTGCTGTATCTTCGGTACTCGTGGTATAGCTGCTGTGTCTTCGGTACTCGTGGTATAGCTGCTGTATCTTTGGTACTCGTGGTATAGCTGCTGTATCTTCGGTACTCGTGGTATAGCTGCTGTATCTTCGGTACTCGTGGTATAGCTGCTGTATCTTTGGTACTCGTGGTATAGCTGCTGTATCTTTGGTACTCGTGGTATAGCTGCTGTATCTTCGGTACTCGTGGTATAGCTGCTGTATCTTTGGTACTCGTGGTATAGCTGCTGTATCTTCGGTACTCGTGGTATAGCTGCTGTATCTTTGGTACTCGTGGTATAGCTGCTGTATCTTCGGTACTCGTGGTATAGCTGCTGTGTCTTCGGTACTCGTGGTATAGCTGCTGTATCTTTGGTACTCGTGGTATAGCTGCTGTGTCTTCGGTACTCGTGGTATAGCTGCTGTATCTTTGGTACTCGTGGTATAGCTGCTGTGTCTTCGGTACTCGTGGTATAGCTGCTGTGTCTTCGGTACTCGTGGTATAGCTGCTGTATCTTCGGTACTCGTGGTATAGCTGCTGTATCTTCGGTACTCGTGGTATAGCTGCTGTATCTTTGGTACTCGTGGTATAGCTGCTGTATCTTCGGTACTCGTGGTATAGCTGCTGTGTCTTCGGTACTCGTGGTATAGCTGCTGTATCTTTGGTACTCGTGGTATAGCTGCTGTATCTTCGGTACTCGTGGTATAGCTGCTGTATCTTCGGTACTTGTGGTATAGCTGCTGTATCTTCGGTACTCGTGGTATAGCTGCTGTATCTTCAGTACTCGTGGTATAGCTGCTGTATTTTCGGTACTCGTGGTATAGCTGCTGTATCTTCAGTACTCGTGGTATAGCTGCTGTATTTTCGGTACTCGTGGTATAGCTGCTGTATCTTCAGTACTCGTGGTATAGCTGCTGTATTTTCGGTACTCGTGGTATAGCTGCTGTATCTTCAGTACTCGTGGTATAGCTGCTGTATTTTCGGTACTCGTGGTATAGCTGCTGTATCTTCGGTACTCGTGGTATAGCTGCTGTATCTTCAGTACTCGTGGTATAGCTGCTGTATTTTCGGTACTCGTGGTATAGCTGCTGTATCTTCAGTACTCGTGGTATAGCTGCTGTATTTTCGGTACTCGTGGTATAGCTGCTGTATCTTCGGTACTCGTGGTATAGCTGCTGTATCTTCAGTACTCGTGGTATAGCTGCTGTATTTTCGGTACTCGTGGTATAGCTGCTGTATCTTCAGTACTCGTGGTATAGCTGCTGTATTTTCGGTACTCGTGGTATAGCTGCTGTATCTTCAGTACTCGTGGTATAGCTGCTGTATTTTCGGTACTCGTGGTATAGCTGCTGTATCTTCAGTACTCGTGGTATAGCTGCTGTATCTTCGGTACTCGTGGTATAGCTGCTGTATCTTCGGTACTTGTGGTATAGCTGCTGTATCTTCGGTACTCGTGGTATAGCTGCTGTATCTTCGGTACTCGTGGTATAGCTACTGTATTTTCGGTACTCGCGGTATAGCTGCTGTATCTTCGGTACTCGTGGTATAGTTGCTGTATATTCGGTACTCGTGGTATAGCTGCTGTATCTTCGGTACTTGTGGTATAGCTGCTGTATCTTCGGTACTCGTGGTATAGCTGCTGTATCTTTGGTACTCGTGGTATAGCTGCTGTATCTTCGGTACTTGTGGTATAGCTGCTGTATCTTCGGTACTCGTGGTATAGCTGCTGTATCTTCGGTACTCGTGGTATAGCTGCTGTATCTTCGGTACTCGTGGTATAGCTGCTGTATCTTCGGTACTTGTGGTATAGCTGCTGTATCTTCGGTACTCGTGGTATAGCTGCTGTATCTTCGGTACTCGTGGTATAGCTGCTGTATCTTCGGTACTCGTGGTATAGCTACTGTATCTTCGGTACTCGTGGTATAGCTGCTGTATCTTCGGTACTCGTGGTATAGCTACTGTATTTTCGGTACTCGCGGTATAGCTGCTGTATCTTCGGTACTCGTGGTATAGTTGCTGTATATTCGGTACTCGTGGTATAGCTGCTGTATCTTCGGTACTTGTGGTATAGCTGCTGTATCTTCGGTACTCGTGGTATAGCTGCTGTATCTTCGGTACTCGTGGTATAGCTGCTGTATCTTCGGTACTCGTGGTATAGCTGCTGTATCTTCGGTACTTGTGGTATAGCTGCTGTATCTTCGGTACTCGTGGTATAGCTGCTGTATCTTCGGTACTCGTGGTATAGCTGCTGTATCTTCGGTACTCGTGGTATAGCTACTGTATCTTCGGTACTCGTGGTATAGCTGCTGTATCTTCGGTACTCGTGGTATAGCTACTGTATTTTCGGTACTCGCGGTATAGCTGCTGTATCTTCGGTACTCGTGGTATAGTTGCTGTATATTCGGTACTCGTGGTATAGCTGCTGTATCTTCGGTACTTGTGGTATAGCTGCTGTATCTTCGGTACTCGTGGTATAGCTGCTGTATCTTCGGTACTCGTGGTATAGCTGCTGTATCTTCGGTACTCGTGGTATAGCTGCTGTATCTTCGGTACTTGTGGTATAGCTGCTGTATCTTCGGTACTCGTGGTATAGCTGCTGTATCTTCGGTACTCGTGGTATAGCTGCTGTATCTTCGGTACTCGTGGTATAGCTACTGTATCTTCGGTACTCGTGGTATAGCTGCTGTATCTTCGGTACTCGTGGTATAGCTGCTGTATCTTCGGTAACGTTGGGATTATTTCTGATTATCTAAAGGAATATGGAACAATATTCCCTCTGGTATAATGTCTCAGGATTCTAAATTTGAAAATTTCCAACATATTAAGCAATTTACTTGCCACATGTATATAAAATCAAAAACTATTATTTTCCATGAATTGTCCTGATTTAACCGACTCTTTTATATCCATTGACATATATAAAATGACATATTTTATTGTAAAATTAGTAAGGTGTAGTCGATATTGTGGTATAATATACACAATAGCCCCTTTAATTCACCAATACTTAAAACAATATATTTCTTTCCATTAAAATTACCTTAATATAATTAATTTCAGCATCTGTATAAAATTATTTTATTCTATAATTATCTGAATAATTGATTCAATGGCCTCTAGTTTTTACCCAATAAGTGTTACTGTATATAATATTTTTTACTATTTAGATAACACTGATACTCTCCAGTACTTTAATTTTCCCCTTAATTTAGGAAAAATAATGATATTGTCTCACATTATTTTAACCACATTCAACCATTTTGTTCCCGTGTCTTATAACTAGTTCAGAGTCCACCTGATCTATTTGTTCCAAAATCAAATGGAATTTTAATTCATAATCAGTAAACTTCAATGTTGCAGCGTAAACCAAAGCTAATTTGTCCCAGAAAGATTCAAGAACACTTTTTCAGTATTATATCAGGTTCATTAAAAATATGTTCTGATTGTTCGCAAATGCCACAATCATTGAAGCACCTGAGTTGAGGTACCTGAGTTGAGGTACTGGTGTTGAGATACCTGTGTTGAGGTACTTGTGTTGAGGTACCTGAGTTGAGGTGCCTGAGTTGAGGTACTTGTGTTGAGGTACCTGTGTTGAGGTACTTGTGTTGAGGTACCTGAGTTGAGGTACCTGTGTTGAGGTACCTGTGTTGAGGTACCTGTGGTGAGGTACCTGTGTTGAGGTACCTGTGTTGAGGTACCTGTGTTGAGGTACCTGTGTTGAGGTACCTGTGTTGAGGTACCTGTGGTGAGGTACCTGTGGTGAGGTACCTGTGGTGAGGTACCTGAGTTGAGGTACCTGAGTTGAGGTACCTGAGTTGAGGTGTTTGTGTTGAGGTACCTGTGTTGTGGTACCTGTGTTGAGGTACCTGAGTTGAGATACTTGAGTTGAGGTACCTGTGTTGAGGTACCTGTGTTGAGGTACTTGTGTCGAGGTACCTGTGTTGATGTACTTCCCTTTCATTTGCCATTAAATAGATTCCTGAATCTTAATTGACTGTTGTAAGTCGCATCTTAGGTGGACTAAGCCTGTACTCTGGAATGAGTTGAGATTATAGCTTTTAGCATGTAAAGATGAACTGTGTAAAACATAAACATGTGCTTGAATAGTGCCTCACAACAGTAAATGAGTCTATCCATGTATCCTTCCCTACGTGTAGGTCCTGCCTACGTTCGACCAATGTCAGTAGTTACTGCTGTGGCTGGGGAACAGCTTCTGATATCCTGTCCCGCTGCAGGCTACCCACTGGCCCAGATCACTTGGTCCAGAGGTACGTCTCCCTGCTTCAAGTTTGTGTGTTTGGGTGTTTTATAAGATCATTATGTTATTTGTGTAATAAGTATTCTTATTTTTTTACAGAAACTAATTTCCGTGTTAAATGATCTCAGAGAATGTGGATTATAATGATATATTGAGAATGTGTGTAAATTGTGCATGTATTGAGAAATAAAAATATGTAAAAGTACTTTACTGACATACACCGAGAGATGTACGTCTCTTGGGATATAATTTACTTTAATCCAGGTAAGGATTTACCTCTGATCCATCTTTCCTACTCAAGACGGACGCACGCTGCCTGTGACAGCCCGACAGAATGTCTTCGAGAACGGGACGCTGGTGGTGAGACATGTGCAGAAGTCTGCAGACGGTGGATCGTATACCTGCACCGCCCACGACAAGCAGGGGCGCACCCACTCCGCCACTGCCTCTGTACAGGTTCTCGGTGAGTCCTGCTTCCCGAAGTGGCAGGTGTCCTGTCCTTAGGGAAGCTGTAAATAGGACAAGGGGTAACATAAGAAGCAAGATGTTATTTAACATAGGATTTACTTAAAATTGGAGGAATTTACTCGGCACGAATTAATCAGAATTTTTTTGTAAATATTGGTTTATAAGAAACTGAAAATCTTCCTGTATGAGAGAAGAATCTTTTCCTATAATTGTCTGGCAGAATTTTGTTCATTAACAGCATATATCATATATATTTTGCATCGTTTTATTAGGATATTTACTTGAGAAATGATCCCCAGACTATGACCACAGGCAAAGGTAGCCTATTCATTAACAGCAGCTAGTATTTAGCAATCCAGCGTCTAGGAGAAGGTTAATAGAAATCGAAGCTCTTTTTTCTATTAATTTTTGGATATAGGGTAGTAGTCACTGAAGTTTGTGAATGTTTAGAATTGATAGTTATCATCCATCTGAATGATGTAGGTCATTGTTAAAAAATCCTAATCAGATGAAGCCTTGTGAAAATATAACGAGGAGAGACACAGAAAAGTGAATAGAAGAAGAGAGGTGGAAAAATGGCTTCTTTGAGAAAAAGAAAATTTGAAAAAATCAGAGAGGGAGAGATTAAAAAAAAAACAGAGGCAGAAAGATAGTATCTGAATCTTTTATTTTAAATAAAATATGCAGATTGAGCCAGATAAATTTTTTATTAGGGACGTTTTTAAATAAACTCAGGTAAGATAGTTACTCATAGCTCATATGAAAGCTGGAAGAACTCGTAACTCCTGGAGAACACTTAGGTTTAAAACAGGTCAAACAAAGAAAAACATGTTTGTCTAAGAGAGAGATTAGATTTTGATTAAAATAAAACATAAAAGCGGGTAGTTCTGAGTTTTGTAGTTTTAGAGAAAAAAATATGATTGTACCTCAAGAGATAGGGATAAAATAAAGGCACTAACATAATAGCTTAGAGATAGATAAAGGCGGTGGTAACATAATTGCACCTAGAGATAGAGATAGAGATAGAGTACAGGCAGTAACATAATTGGTTAATGGGCAGGGGAATTAAAAACAAACTTGAGGAGTTAAGGTTCGAAGGACCCACAAGTGAGAGTACCATTGCCACAGTGCCTCCCAAGCTGAGTTCGTTCACTCTACGTCGTGACCTGGCGCTGGGGGAGCGGGTCTCCGTGCAGTGTACTGTCAATGGAGGCGACACACCGCTGCAGATCACCTGGACGAAGGACGGGGTGCCAGCCGAGAGCATCGCTGGCACACAGGTGCGTCCGCTAGACCAATACACCACCATCCTTACTATCAACCACCTCACCCCGCTACACACCGGCAACTACACGTGCACCGCTGCTAACGACGCCGCCACCGTCCGACACACCGCCCCTCTCAACGTCAATGGTAACTCTCCTCTCTTTTATTCTTGTCTCGTTCTCTCACGTTTCTCTCTCTCCCTTGGCTGCTGTGATGATGCTGGTTCCTCTCCTTGATGCTCTGCTCCTCGACGTCTGTAGTTCCCCCCACCATCAATCCCTTTAGCTTCGGGGAGGCTAGCGAAGGCGAACGGGTGCAGGTGATCTGCTCGGTGAGAAGAGGGGACTTTCCCCTCACTCTTACCTGGCTCAAGGACGGTGTACCTCTGGCACAGGACCCTCCTACGGGTCTCACATTGCGACCTCTGGATCAGTTCTCCAGCGCCCTCCTACTGGCTCATGCTAACTCTCACCACAGCGGCAACTACACTTGCCAGGCTGCCAACGCTGCCCGCACAGCCTCTCACTCGGCTACCCTCGTCATCAAAGGTAAGTCCCAAGACAACACCACACAACACACTCCTTTGTTAACACTTAGCAATACATATTGTCTCAGTCATCATATATGGATAGGTAATATTAGAATTTTATGAAATTATACTCCATGTTGATAACCTCACTCGTTCCCCGCTGTGCTTGCTCCATTAATATGCTACGTTTACAAAAATAACGTGTTTAAGTATCTTGTATTTATTTTAACCAGAGGATGCAAATTATTGCAAAAAAAAAAAAAAAACACATGATGAGAAACTTTAAAGCACAGAAAATATAATACTGCCATTTATTCAGGAATTTATTGTTCTTAGCGGAATTGAATCCTAAAGACGCTTAATATATATTGTTGACAATATTTTTATTAATGGGTAAATATATCCTCATAATTAGCTTATCTTAGGCTCACAGGAACGTAGGTAGAACACTGTTGTAACAAAGATTACATCGCTGGTTACACCACAGATACTATGTGATTCTCACTTCTGACTTGCATCATTCAAAAATTAATTTTACTTATAGAGTGAGATATACCAGACTAACTTGGCAACTGTAATAAGAAGCAGTACATCACTACTTTATAGGTACACATATATATATACGGGGATACAAGAACAACTCAGAGTCTAGATACATACAAGTGCTATAGTTTCAAAGTTTTTTCTCGCGTGAGTACGAAGATAGATTTAGTTTCAGGCATGCACATATAGGCTAGATCAAAGGTAAACAAGATAATGCAGAGGAAGGAGCTTTTATCTACAAACTTTGTAGTAAAATATGGGATAGTTTTCATTTATTCACATGCAACATTGCCCTCACGATATTTTCTAAGACCTCTTCATTTATTTCCACTAGAATTATGTGTTGCTTTCTATATTTTTTACTTTTTCCATGAGTCATCTTCTTGATTTATTTTTTGGAAGGCATTGAGCCTCGAATTTTTTTTATCCACAAGTGACAAAAAATCCAATTTTGAAAGTCAGATTTTTGAGACGAAGCGGCGTCACCTTGACAGGTAATATTTGAGTTTGTTTGACCTTCTTTATCACCTTATCCAAACTTTTTATTGCATGTTTTTTCACGCATGTTTTGAATGTATTTTTCTTAAAAAAATTACCCTTTTATTCTCTCATTAAAAAGTTTCTTGATCATATCGCATCATAGCCTGACATAGAAGTTTGTTCATAATATATATAAATATACATATTCTCGTAGCCTGAGCTGTAAGTCTATTCTTAAGCCTATGCCGCCTCCCACCCCTATATATGTAGAGTTGCTGGGTTTCCAACGTAACATTATTTTCTTTAAAATGGAAACAGAGATTCAAACTAAGTGATATAGCATGATAGCCACGTATATATATATATATATATATATATATATATATATATATATATATATATATATATATATATATATATATATATATATATATATATATATATATGTATATTTGAGGTATATATTTAGGTATGAAGTGGTATGGGATTAGTTCATAAGCTCTTAGGAGGGAGGTAGACTATTTCAGGTTATATAGTAGTTAATTACAGGAATTTCGTAGGAATGCAGTCTAATATTTTTGTAGCTCGGGGAATGTTATATACAAATTTTAGAAGTTCTTATTTTCCATGGATTCAAGAGGAAATATCTGCATGACGTAGACACAAACGACGTTTTCTATGAATCAGTATTGGATGGAATTAAGAGAAACTAACATATACAGAACATTATCCTAGAAAAGTGTTCTTTTTTGCGTTAGTTTCAAGGCAATCGTAACGCTATTACGATTTTATGGAACTTTTATTCACTGTACTCGCTTATAATGCGCTATCTGTTTTAGCATCAAAATAGTAACAAATCCGTATATAATTGCATTAAATGTATAAATGTATATATATATATATATATATATATATATATATATATATATATATATATATATATATATATATAAATAATTAATGTGAAATACAAGAAGTGGATGAGGCTCGAGCCTTCTGCTGGTAAGCGCTTCCTAACTGTACGTAGTTATATTCATAAGATAAATACTGTTTCATATTTTGTATCATGATACTCCTGTAAAAAGCATCTTAGAATCTAGACCCTGTGTCACTCATGTGGTGGGCTGGCATCTGTCCAGCTACCCGCGGCACTACTGCCACCAAGGGCAATGACATGTGGCGGGTGGTACCTCTCCTGCTCCCATCGGCACTAATCTCACCCGTGGCACTGATATATATGATTGTGGCACTACTGCCCCTAGTGGCATTAACAGATGGCCAGGTGACAGATGTTCCCTCTGCAGCGCTGCAGAGGTACGTGGGGAGGGTTGCAGTAACGTTGTCATACTCTCTCCTGCCTGCATATATGTATGCCAGTGATACTGATGGGGCACAAGGCTGTTATGAGACATGTAACATATCACAAGAACAGTTCAAAATAAACAGTTCAAAATGAACTACAAACCCTCCCCCATTTGTAATCGGTTGTATAATAGTGTCTGATCCTGTCTAACAATACACATGATCAGTTCCCGTAATAGTTAAATGATATATAAATGTTCATCAGAAGAAATAAATTAAAGAAATCAGTTAAACGAACCATTGATATTTATCAGTACACTGATGCTGGTGCAGTAATAAACACCTTGGTAGGAACAGGTGCATAAAAGTTATTCAACCTACAATTTATTCCGTCAGGGCATGCTGGATTAGTGAGATTCTTTGCACCTGAAACAATGAGTGGGTATGAACCCTAGCCCTATACCTTGCACTGTCAGTGATTAGAAAAAAAAATCTACAGCAGATTGCATGAGGTGATGGTTTTGGTAGGTGGATGAGTAATAATCAGGTAAGTTCTGAGATCAATAGAGTTTTCATCTCACCAAAATGCCACCACCGCGTTTGATACCATCCGACACTACTGCTCCACTCGACGTTCCTCCATTAAGTAAACACTTCACTGGAAGGTTCCCGGCTGCCAGGACTGAAGAATCAGGCTGTCGAAGGACACAAACACCTCAGGAAGGTTGATGGAGACATCAGAAACCAGGACCGCTAACGGAGACGTCAGAAATCAGTACGGTTAACGGAGACGTGAGAACGCAGAATGGGGAGAAGAGAACCTCAACTAGACGAAGCAGCACAACAAGAGTGACTTTCCTTGTCTCGAAGGCAGCATTCCTTCTCCACTAGGAAGCTCAAAAATCCAACTAAACGGAAGCTTGTGGGAGCTTGTAGAGAACCAATAACCAATTAGAATCGCGGAACGGCCCAATAATAATTTAGTTCTTTAGCTCATTAAGGTACAACAGCGTTTAGGGTTGAAAGCTGATCAAGAGATGCCTTCTCTAGTAATTTTATCGAAATCGATTTATTTAATAACATTGGTAAATTAAAACCTTCACGGCTTAAAATGCACGTAAACAATCACTGGAAATACTTAAGCAATAATACTCACCCTACCTAACTAAATATATCTAATAATATCTAAAAAAAAAAAAGCAATATACTTGAATAAGAATTTACGAAAATAAAAATCATAGAATATATATATATATATATATATATATATATATATATATATATATATATATATATATATATATATATATATATATATATATATATATATATATATATATATATATATATATATATATATATATACACACACGTGAATTGTTATTTTATTAAACTCCCGTCGTATTTAAAAAAAAAAAGAAAAAGATGCTGAATATTTGACGTGGGTTATTCTGGGTTAAATATAATGCTAAAAGTAGTTAAAAAGGTGCGTATATATTAAATGGTGAATCATTATTCTTAGATTCATCACAACGAGGCATAGCGTAATGAACACTATTACTACTACTACTAGTAGTAATAGTAGTAGTAGTAGTAGTAGTAGAAATCATACAGAGCCTGGGGAATAGTAGGTAAACTGATTTAACCCTTCCTCGGGAATGGGTAGCTCCATTTTCTTGGCTCAAGATTCCTTCACCAGCCTCAGTTCACCCCCTATCTGAAGGGAGGCCGGAGACATAACTGGCCATGATGCTACTCAGCCAGCTCTCTCTCTCTTTCACACTGTCACTGCCGCAGTTAAATATTCAATGCTCCCGTCAGATAGACCACTCTCGCCCGGTTTACTACTGACAGCCGGCTGCTGAATTAATCGTGGATAAAATATTGGAAAGTTGAAGTTAGTGTGTCAGTATTTGCGTGGCTGACAGCTACTGACAGTATTGATGCAGTCTGTCCTCTGGTGCAGAGTGCTCTGGGGATTTAGTTTCCACAGTCACTGCTCAATCCTCATAATTATTGTATTGATTTGGATGCGGTAAATTAATACGGGCTCTGTAGCGCCTTGCGAATGGAAGGCAATCAGGTTCAAACCAAGGAAAGGCAGGAAAGGTGCGATTTCTTGTATCAAGAGTCCCCTCCCTTGCATCAAGGAGCCTCTCTTCACCACCTTTAATCGTCAACCTACTGAACTTACGAATTAGTGAAACTACATAAAACTGTATCGCATTAATTGCTAAAACTGCGTGGGTTATCCTGCACAAGGTGTGGCGGAGGTTCGATCCCCTGCTCCATAAGTCCGACGCGGTCTTTGACAATTCAGGCTGCTTGCTGTTTGTATTAAGAAACGTAACAAATGGGGTCTTAGGCACAATGAACATTGAAGAAGTAAATTAGTTTCACTTTATCAAGGTTTTTAATGTTACTAGACCCCTCAAATCATGAAGATGCAAACCTCGTGTCGATAATTCATCCCAAAAAATGTTAGACACTCGATCCTCCGTTTCCTCATATCGAGACATTTATGCTTTCTACTAGTGAGCTGTAGAAAGCTATTTCCCTTTCCCGAGGGAGGAAAGAGAATCTCTAGGTTGCAGTAAGACCAGGGTCGTGAAATGTAGAGCAACCAGGAAGGTCTCTCAGTTGTACACGACCAAGGGAGGGAAGGATAGTAGCGTGGAGAGTGTTAGTGTACATATATATTCAGAGGGATAGGCGAACAGAGAGAGACAGGAAGGGTACCAGAAATGGAATCAGTGATTCTCTCGTGTGCTGGATTGGGTGGAGGCGGGGAGAGTAAAGTTGGGGAGGATGATGGTGGGGAATAGTAGGGCAGGTATTAAAAGTGCAGGTAGTTAAGATTAAAATAAACTGGATAAGAATAGTTAGGGTGGCGATAAATAAGGTGCGAAGAGGAAGGGAGGTGAACGGGAGACATGACTGGTACTAAAGATAGGATTCACAACAGGAGGCACTGAAGGGTTGGGGTGAGGGGTGGTAGGTGTCAGTAACACAGATCATGTAGCTTGAAGGAGAAGAGAGTTCGGGTGAGGGAGGGAAGAAGCACGAGTGCCAGTGCTTGGGTTGCTCTAATAAGGGTTGGGATTAGGGGCGCGAGTGACAATGGCAGTGCCAATGATAGGGTCACTTCCACATTGGTTAGGGTGGTGAGAGGTACTACAAAGATACGATCACCTCCACAAGGTGAGGGGTGGGGGGCGGTGGTGCCAGCGGTAGTGCCAACGATAGCGTCACCTCCACAAGTCAGAGTGAGAGAGCAGGGACCCCTTCCCCACTGAACAGTGACATATGGAACTGAGATTTCATAGGAAGAGGAAGAAGGGGAAAGGAGTGTAAATATATAACAGGAGGGGGAATAGGAGACTAAGACAGGATGGACAGAATTAAGACAGTGAGGGAACAGTCTAAGACACGCTGGAAGCCCTAGCGTATAAGCATTTGATAAATAATCCTCAGGTAAAGTTCGGAAAATTTTCGATGATGGCTCAGCGACAACTTACATTATTTGGACCAGACAGATTTGTCGTGGTAGGCAGAATGGTGAACTCAGTCTATGTACACATTCTCTGATTGGCTGAATGATACACTCACTCATATCAGAGAACTCCATTGATTAGTCGAGGAATCATCCAGACTGCTGGATCACGGCTCCGTCTGAGGTCACTGATGAAGGAATCTCTATTCCATCATCACTTTCCAAACTGAGCTTGAAACTCTAAACACCCTGGTTGTAACGCATCTCTTTAACCTTAAATTATTAATTACATTCTTAGGCAAACGTATATATTGTACATGTTAGCTTGTCTGAACACTCACGTCCGTATTCACAACAACCATGACCCTAAAAGCGAGCACCAAGCACACACCACAGGGGAGAGATATATTATGCCTGACAGTAGAACTCACTCTTCCTGGGGTGGATGTTTGGTGTGAGGGGGAAAAACAGAGGTTAAATGCGTGTTGTGAATACTGTCTTTAGCTTCCATATTGTTAGCCTGTTATCTCCATTTAGTCCAAAGATTGTTAGCTTGTGATGTGCCAACCACTAGGAGAATTTTTCTCTTTTTTTCTGGTGCTTGATATCCAGATGATCTCTTATATATTCTAGTATTGTTTCCTCTCTCACACCTGTTGTCGTTGTCACTTGGCCTGAAGGAAACTTAGTATTACCAGTAGCTGTCAGCACACGTATCCACTCTCAGCCATCATCTACATGTCACCTGTGTAAACAGTTTTTCCTTCTCTAATTATAAATAAAAGTGTTTCTCTTCACTATAAAACTGTTTCCTTTAGAATCTTTTGCTCATAAACAAAGAAAAATAAACTCTTTGATGATCTCAAAAGAAACTTCTTTTTTTGGTCTTTGTTATAAACAAAGAATAATTTTATCTATGGTGTATACAAATAATTGTATTTTCCCATTAAGTAAATATGTATATTTTTGTTCTGGGTATAATGAATGTTTTTTTTTTTTTTTGGTCTCATACAATATATAGTTGCAAGTATTTTTTTAATATTTTTTTATTAAATCAAACACTCCCATTCAGTTACTGAGTCACATGATGCTATTTATCAATATTTTGTAATAATTAAACGAATCTTTCTTAATTTTTCCTGCATTTTTACATTTCTATAACAACGAATCTTAATTTTCGTTGGAAATTTGAGATAGATTCCAATGAGACTTCTTTTTATTACGAAAGTTTATTTCAAAATTAAAGTAAAATACTTTGGGAGAAAGATTACAGTTAAATCTTGTGGTAAAGAATTTCTGTAAGTCTTTACTGACCTGTGTTGGGCTCCTACAGTGCCTCCGTCATGGCTGGAGGCTCCCAGGGACACCTCCGTCACCCTGGGAGGAACTGTGGTCATTCCTTGCCATGCCCAGGGCTTCCCCACCCCGAAGGTGTCCTGGAGGAGAACCAGAGGTAAGGAAGAGAAGTAATGAAAGAAGGTAGAGGGGAGACAAGTGAGAATGGGGAAACACGCGGGAATAGAGGAAGAAACGGGAGATAAATTTGCGAGTAAAGGGTGAAAGGTGTGTATGTGTGTGTGTTGGTGTGTGTACTCACCTATTTGTGGTTGCAGGGGTCGATTCATAGCTCCTGGCCCCCCCCTTCACTGATTGCTACTAGGTCCTCTATCTCCCTGCTCCATGAGCTGTATTAACCTCGCCTTAAAACTATGTATGGTTCCTGCCTTCACTACGTCACTTTCTAGAGGTGTGTGTGTGTGTGTGTTGGGGTGTGTGTGTGTTGTGTGTGTGTGTGTGTGTGTGTCGTGGTGTGTGTGTGTGTGTGTGTGTGTGTGTGTGTGTGTGTGTGTGTGTGTGTGCGTGTGCGTGTGCGTGTTTTGTGTGTGTGCGTGTGTGTGTACTCACCTAATTGTGGTTGCAGGGGGCGAGACTCAGCTCCTGGCCCCCCCTCTTCACTGATCGCTACTGGATCCTCTCTCTCTCTGCTTCCTGAGCTTTGTCATACCTCTTCTTAAAACTATGTATGGTTCCTGCCTCACTACTTCACTTGCTAGGCTATTCCACTTGCTGACAACTCTATGACTGAAGAAATACTTCCTAAAGTCCCTGTGACTCGTCTGAGTCTTCAGCTTCCAGTTGTGACCCCTTGTCCCTGTGTCCCTCTCTGGAACATCCTAATCTTGTCCACCTTATCTATTCCCCGCAGTATCTTGTATGTCGTTATCATGTCTCCCCTGACCCTTCTGTCCCCGGTCGCAGTCCGATTTCCCTTAAACCTTTCCTCGTACGACATTCCCTTGAGCTCTGGGACTAGCCTTGTTGCAAACCCTTTTTACTTTCTCTAAATTCTTGACGTGCTTGACCAGGTGTGGGTTCCAGATGGTGCTGCATACTCCAGTATGGGCCTAACATACACAGTGTACAGTGTCTTGAACGATTCCTATTGAGGTTCGGAACGCTATTCTCAGGTTTGCCAGGCGCCCGTATGCCCGCAGCGGTTATTTGGTTGATGTGTGCCTCCGGTGATGTACTCGGTGTTATGGTCACCCCAAGGTCTTTCTCCCTGAGTGAGGTCTGTAGTCTTTGTCCACCTAGCCTATATTCTGTCTTCGGTCTTCTTTGCCCCTCCCCAATCTTCATGACTTTGCATTTGGCTGGATTGAATTCGAGGAGCCAGTTACTGGACCACATGTCCAGCCTCTCCAGTCTCTTTGCAGTCCTGCCTCATCCTCGTCCGATTTAATTTCTTCCATCAACTTCACGTCATCTGCGAACAGGGACACTTCAGAGTCTATTCCTTCCATCATGTCGTTCACATATATCAAAAATAGCACTGGTCCTAGAACTGACCCCTGTGGGACCCCGCTCGTAACAGGCGCCCACTGTGATACCTCTTCACGTACCATGACTCGTTGCTGCCTCCCTGTCAGGTATTCCCTTATCCATTGCAGTGCCCTTCCTTTTATGTGTGCCTGATCCTCCAGCTTCTGCACATAATCTCTTGTGGGGAACTGTGTCAAAGGCCTTCCTGCAGTCTAGGAAAACGCAATCTACCCAACCCTCTCTCTCGTGTCTTACTTCTGTTACCTTGTCATAAAACTCCAGGAGGTTTGTGATACAAGATTTGCCTTCCATGAACCCATGCTGGTTTTTCATTTATAATCTTGTTCCTTTCCAGGTGTTCGACCACTCTCCTCCTGATATCTTTCCATGACTTTGCACACAATACATGTCAGAGACACAGGTCTGTAGTTTAGTGGCCTCGTTTCTGTTTCCTTTCTTAATATGGGGACTACATTAGCTGTCTTCCATTTCTCAGGTAGTTGCCCAGTTTCAAGGGATGTGTTGAAGATTGTGGTTAGAGGCACACACAGCATCTCTGCTCCTTCTCTAAGGACCCATGGGGAGATGTGTGTCCGGTCCCATCGCCTTTGAGGTGTCAAGGTCACTTAAGAGCTTCTTCACCTCCTCCTCAGTTGTTCGTATGTCATCCAACACTTGTTGGTATATTCCCTCTTGATGGTTCCCTTCTGTGCTGTCTTCCCACAGCCCTTCCTGTCTCTACTGTAAAAAATTCATTAAATCTCCTGTTCAGCTCCTCACATACCTCCTGATCATTTCTTGTGAGTTCTCCACCTTCTGTCCTTAATCTGATCACCTGGTCTTTGACTGTTGTCTTCCTCCTGATGTGGCTATACAACAGTTTCGGGTCAGTCTTGATTCTCGATGCTATGTCATTTTCATACTGTCGCTGGGCCTCCCTCCTTACCTGTGCGTACTCATTCCTGGCTCTGCGATGATCTCCCTATTTTCGTGTGTTCTCTGCCTTCTGTACTTTTTCCATTCTCTATTGCACTTTGTTTTTGCCTCCTTACACCGTCGGGTAAACCAGGGGCTTGTTCTGGTCTTCCCGTTGTTACTGTTGCCCTTGGGAATGAACCTTTCCACTGCCTCCTTGCATTTTGTTGCTACATATTCCATCATTTCATTTACTGGCTTTCCTGCCAGTTCTCTGTCCCACTGGACCTCCCGCAGGAAGTTCTTCAACCCTATGTAGTCCCCTCTTTTATAGTCAGGCTTTTCCCATTCTACTCCTGTTATTCTCTCCACTTGCAGCTCTACTATGTATTCAAAGCACAGAACCACGTGGTCGCTAGCTCTAGGGGACTCTCATACTTGATATCCTCAATGTCTGAGCTGCCAGGGTGAACACAAGGTCCAATCTTGCTGGTTCATCCTCCCCTCTCTCTGGTAGTGTCCTTAACATGTTGGTGCATGAGGTTTTCCAGCACCACGTCCAACATCCTGGCTCTCCATGTTTCGGGACCCCCATGTGGCTCCAGGTTTTCCCAGTCAATCTCCCTGTGGTTGAAATCCCCCATAACCAGCATCTTTGCTCTGCTGGAGTGAGCTCTTCTTGCCACCTCAGCAAGTGTGTCCACCATTGCTCTGTTGCTCTCTTCATATTCCTCTCTTGGCCTCCTGCAGTTCTGTGGTGGATTATACATCACTGCAATGACCACTTTGTGTTCCCCAGACTGAAGTGTACCTGCTATGTAGTCTCTTTCTCCTGTCTCATCTATTCTTCCATTTTCTCGAATTTCCATCTGTTTTTTACGAGCAGAGCAACCCCACCTCCCCCCTACCCTTCTATCTTTCCTCATGATCTGGTATCCTTGTGGGAAGATTGCATCTGTTATTGTCTCCATGAGTTTTGTTTCTGTAACTGCTATGATGTCTGGGGATTCTCATTGATTCTTTCTTGCCATTCCTCATGTTTATTCGTTAATCCATCTGCATTTGTGTACCAAACCTTCAACTTCTGTTCTAATACTGTAACTGTGGTGCGGGGGGTGGAAAGAGAGGGATCGGTGTGTGATGGTTGGTTTGGAATGTTCAGTTGCCTTGGGGGTGTCGTGGCTGGAGTCCTTCTGCAGGTGTTTCTGGGGGGTGCGCTTGTCTTCCATTTGATCCTGGGTTATTCTGCTCTCCTTTTTCATTTCCTCCCATTTCTCCTTTCGTTTTGAATCTCTCTTTCATTGTCTTCCTTTCGTCTGTGTTCTGTCTCGGTCGAGGTAACACTCCGTGTGTGTGTGTGTGTGTGTGTGTGTGTGTGTGCGTGTGCGTGTGCGTGTGTGTGTGTGTGCGTGTGTGTGTGTGTGGTGTGTGTGTGTGTGTGTGTGTGTGTGTTGGTGTGTATGTGTAATGGTGTGTATGTGTGTTGCTGTGTGTGTGTGTGTGTGTGTGTGTGTGTGTGTGTGTGTGTGTGTGTGTGTGTGTGTGGTGGTGTGTGTGTGTGGTGGTGTGTGTGTTTGTTGGTGTGTATGTGTGTTGGTGTGTGTGTGTGTGTGTGTGTGGTGTGTGTGTGTGTGTGTGTGTGTGTGTGTGTGTGTGTGTTGGTGTGTGTACTCACCTATTTGTGGTGTGTATGTGTGTTGGTGTGTGTGTGTTGATGTGTATGTGTGTGTTGTGTGTGTGTGTGTGTGTGTGTGTGTGTGTGTGTGTGTGTTCGTGTGTGTATGTGTGTGTGTGTGTGTGTGTGTGTGTGTGTGTGTGTGTGTGTGCGTGTGTGTGTGTGCGTGTGAGGGTATGGGGGCATGACAGGAGGGTAAAGCACTACAAGAGTGGCACCATCGCGACTGACTCCCACTAGAGTGCCCAGAGAGTGCTTTGCCAGTGAAGCTTGCATTGTCTCATGATAATGAAGCTTGCATTGTCTCATGGTAGTGAAGCTTGCATTGTCTCATGGTAGTGAAGCTTGCATTGTCTCATGGTAATGAATTTTGCAGTGTGTCATGGTAATGAAGCTTGCATTGTCTCATGGTAATGAAGTTTACATTGTGTCATGGTAATGAAGCTTGCATTATGTCATGGTAATGAAGCTTGCATTGTGTCATGGTAATGAAACTTGCATTGTCTCATGGTAATGAAGCTTGCATTGTGTCATGGTAATGAAACTTGCATTGTCTCACGGTAATGAAGCTTGCATTGTCTCATGGAAATGAAGCTTGCATTGTCTCACGGTAATGAAGCTTGCATTGTCTCACGGTAATGAAGCTTGCATTGTCTCATGGAAATGAAGCTTGCATTGCCTCATGGTAATGAAGCTTGCATTGCCTCATGGTAATGAAGCTTGCATTGTCTCATGATAATGAAGCTTGCATTGTCTCATGATAATGAAGCTTGCATTGTCTCATGATAATGAAGTTTGCATTGTGTCATGATAATGAAGCTTGCATTGTCTCATGGTAATGAAGTTTGCATTGTGTCATGATAATGAAGCTTGCATTGTCTCATGGTAATGAAGTTTTCATTGTGTCATGGTAATGAAGCTTGCATTGTCTCACGGTAATGAAGCTTGCATTGTCTCATGGAAATGAAGCTTGCATTGCCTCATGGTAATGAAGCTTGCATTGTCTCATGATAATGAAGCTTGCATTGTCTCATGGTAAT